TTTTTTTTTAAATCACACAAATTGAAACATGTATATTTTTAAGAGAGGGTTCTCGTGAAAACCATCCCCTATTTATTACGCAACTTTAAAAACCTTAACGCTCTTCCGAGACTACTCAACGTGGTGTAGAGTGCGCGTCTCGCCGCCATCCGGTCGTTTATGCGGTTTAGGCGACCACAATAATCAACAAAGTCGCCGACTTTTCTGATACCGGTGCCGCGCGACGTCACGGTGGTTTGTTCGGTCTTTACACCGGCCACCGTGTCTTCCACGACGACCTCCAGGGCACCGTTATTTCCGGCGTCGCAACGAGTTCCGRTCTCGTTCCGGTCGCCGTGAGTCCATTCGGATAACTCCCTAGACAAACTGTCCCTAAGTCGGTGGTACTTCGTTTCGGTGGACTTCAAMAGCACGATCAAGTTGTCCAAAAGTTGCAGCTTTTGCATCAGTTTCCAGCCTCGTGCGAGCTCCGCTGACTTGTCGTCGTGCTGCTGCACCGGAGTTTCACCCGATGCATACTTTGCCAAGATATCCGGGCCCGGTGCAAAGTTTACGTATTCATGTTGGTCGTCCTTCGAGTTCGGTTGTCGTCCTTTGGTYGTYGGACTGTYGTTATCACCCGTTTCGTCGACATCAACYGTACAAGAGTCCTCAGAAGGACCCGTGTACTCCCAGTCAGTGTGGTCGGTCTTCTGCAGTATTTCCGTCACCTTCGCGTTCACTTGTTTGGTCACGTCWAGACTCCACAAAAAATCCACGTGATTGCAACGYGGGCTGTCCACCGAAACGAAGTCCATCAGCTTCGGAAGTTGCGATTTCAGTCTCATAACGTCCTGCACACAAGAACAACTTGATATAGGTTCAGATAAATAAAAAAAAGTTCTATAAACATGATAAAAAAGGCAAGTCAGGTGTGTCATAATTTGAACTTAAAATGCATATTATAACAAATCATCGCGTGACCATTATTAATTTTGAGCTCCTATAGAACAACATATGAGGACCATTGTCAGCTTCTTAACTAAGTAAAAAGTTTACATCGACAATAGTTAAAAAAAMAATTTGAAGATTTGAAAAAGTCTCAAGACTATTTAGGTATAATTGATAAAACTCAAAAAAGTCAAAATATTTACACATATTTAATACTTTCAAAAACTACTAAGAATTTTAAATGTTAACTTCCGGAATCTACAAGATTCATTTTTCTATCAGAAAAAATGATGTCGATGTAAAAAATCGGAGCGTTTTATGTTTTAACTACTCCATCTGAAATAAACATATACACTACAATACATATAATAAATTATGCATTTATGCTCAGAATTTAAAAGTTCAAACATAAATATTTACAAAATATTATTTTATATTTATAAATGATAATAATGTTAATTTCCGTGAGAACGTATGAAATCTATTATGGAGAAAAATAATGATTGTATCAAAACAAATGAACATTGTGCATTAAATGTACTAATTTTATTTTGGAATA